AACTGGCCAGAGACCCTCAGCCAGGGATCTCTCCCTTGGCCTCCCCAGCACTGGGGTTATAAGCATGGACTCCTAAACATAGGTCCTTCAAGGAAAGCATTTTACTAACTAAGCTATCTCCCTGGACTATAGACATATTTTTGTGAAGACACAATTCAACCTGTATCTTTCAATAAGGGCATATTATCATTGTACTGATACAAAGGACATGTGGCACGTGATTAGTTTGCAAGGGCTGCCATAACAAATGCCACATGAGGGCTGGAGAGATGGCTCAGAGGTTAAGAGCACCTACTGCTCTTCCAGAGGTCCTGAGTTCAATTCCTAGCACCCACATGGTGGCTCACAACTATCTGTAATGAGATGGCACCCTCTTCTGTATACATAATAAATAAATAAATCTTAAAAAAAAATGCCACACGATACCTTTACCAGCAGGTGCTACACGGCACCTTCATCAGTAGGCATACTTTTCCTCATAGTTCTGCAAATTGGCACATGAGGGATGGCAATGTGGGCAGAGCTGGTTTCTTCTGAGGCCGTTCTCCTTGGTTCAAATGGGCCCAGATATACAGCACATATCTTCACACAGTCTTTCTTCCAAGCAGGCCTGTGTCCTAACCTGGCATTGGACTAGGGCTCTATTTATCTCATTTTAGCTTCATTGTCTCCTTAAAAACGCCTCTCCCCATCTCCACATACAATGACACATTGTGATGTTTTGGGTAGGACTTCAATATATGAATTTGAAGAAACACAATTCAATCTGTAACACCATAGGTTACAAACAAAAATGAAATCCATAATACCCCTGAGTATAAATCCCGAATGTAGACAACTGGTTCTCACAGACTACTTAAATGAGTTTCTTGTTATCTCTTGTAGCCATGCCATATGGTTTCTGCTCACCAACAGGTGTAATCCCAGCATGAATATGGGTGGTTATTTCATTTGCCTTAATAAGTAATACGAAGTTGAAACAGAATGTATGACAAAACTGCATTCATTTCCTTGTGACTTGAGCAACTTGTGTACTGAATCCAATAACAGATTGATCACCGAAGAGTATTTCACATTTTTGTTTGTTTGTTTGTTCAGTATTGAAAAGTAAACAAGTCCCGAGCTGCAGGAACTGCCCAGTGCCTCTCTAACCTGCTGACTCCACCTCCCCACGAGATGTACCTGTACTGTGGAAGGAGAAGCCAGGTGTGGCAGTGATCGCCACAGCCCAAGCCAATAGCTTCCCAATCACAGATTGGGCTGGGTGTGTAGCCCAGGGGTAAAGCGCTTGCCTACATGTGCGAGGCTGCTAAAAGAAAAAGAGTATGCCCTTTAATCCATCCTTCCCACTCAGTCTCTCTAAATCACCACCTTTTCTTTTCTACACAGATATCAAGGGTCTTCTTCCCATACCATCTCCTCAGGCCATGGCTTGTTATCCAGCCCCACACAACCCAAGCCCATTACCATCTTTGTGCTTTGGGTTGGAGAAGGTGTTTTAAAACATAATTATACAATAAAAGGCATAAAGACGCCGGGCGGTGGTGGCGCACACCTTTAATCCCAGCACTTGGGAGGCAGAGCCAAGCAGATCTCTGTGAGTTCGAGGCCAGCCTGGGCTACCAAGTGAGTCCCAGGAAAGGCACAAAGCTACATAGAGAAACACTGTCTCGAAAAAC